CTGAGCACGGCCACTCCCCAGCACTGTCTGCAGGTGCAGCCGCACGTTTGGGAGGCACAGAGGTGACCGTCTTTGAAGGCATTCGAGAAAGAACAGAACAGCTGTTCACGATCTACTCGGCATATTTTTGTCATTATACGACAGAATTTTCAAAAATGCACAAAAGCGTCAAAGAGAAGTAAAGATCCTCCCTCCTCTAGTGACACCCTCCCTACCCGGAGCCCTCTTCCTTGGGGTCCGGATCTCAGCTTCACGGTGGCTCCGTCCCATCCCCTGGGCCCATCTCCCTGGCCCCTGGCAGCCAGGACCTTGGGTGGAACGAGTGACTCTGTTGTCCGTCCTCTGTCCCCAGGGGACAGGAAGCTCCTGGAGGTCAGGTTCAACAGGGGTCTCGCTCCATTCTGCCCCCCAGGCGGGGGGACTGCTCTGCCTGTGCTCCGTGAGGACCGGGGAAGGGGAGAAGGAGGGAGGAGAGGAGGCGGAGATGCAGGGAAGGGTTTCAGGTCATGTCGTTGAAGACACGATGCGTGTGACAGAGCCGAGTGCCCACGGTCATGCCGTGCGCGTGTGTCTCCTGAAACGTCAACAGAGGTGACCGCTGGACACTGACGTCTGAGGTTCTTTTTCCTTTGCTTTTTGACTTCATGCGCCTGGTTCTCTGTGTGGCGATTTCTCGGAGAAATCAAGAAAGGACCGGAAAGACCGGGGCGTGAAGCTGGCGGTTCAGGACAGAGCTCCTCCGTGGCTTGGTCTTGGCGCCTGCAGCTACCTCAAGTGCTGAGGTCTCCAGTCTGTGTGTCAGAGCCCAGCCGAGGGCACGGCCAGGTGGCACCGGGCCAGAGGAGTGGTCTCTCAGGGTCCCAGTGCACCTGAGCCGTTCCTTGTGCCCACGGCCGAGAACCTTCACGCACTGTGTCCAATGTCCATTCCTCCAATAGGAATGTGCTCGGGATGTCCCCAGTGCGCTTGCATTGTCCCCAGACACCCCCCCCCCAAGGCAAAACTAAAGAGAACTCTTCCTGTCCTCTGGGAGCAAATCCGGTCACTGCACTGGGTGGACCGTACTGTCCTTGCTGTTGAAATCAACCAAAGCGCTCCTTAGCAGCAGGCGGGGCCCGAGGAGCAGTGAGCCCTGGACGCAGAACATTCTAGAATCAGGCTGCCTGGATGAAACGCAAACCCTGTACTTCCTACCTGTGTGGCCTTGGGCACATGACCCTCCCCCCTCTCTGCCTCAGTTTCCCTGTTAAGTAAAATGGACATGGCGCCAGGACTTGGCTTCTAGGTTTGCTGCAAGGACCGAGCGAGGCGAAGCACAGGCAGGGCTTGACCCAGCGACCATGCGCCCGCCCGTGTGAACCTTGATGATGACTCCCGTCTGCATTACGTGAGGTGATGGCATTAACATGACAAATGGGTACCAATTGGGGGAAGCGTCCCTTTTTAAGAAGCACGCACCTGCCGAGAGCGTACTTACGGTTTACGATCAGGAGGCAGCGTTAATGGCCCGTAATGTGATTACGATAAGGATTTTTATTAGGAAGATTCCCACCAATTTGGCATTAATTAATGTACTGTTAACTCCAGAGTGTTGCTCACCGAGTCCTTGGAGAGTCAGGGAAAATAAACCTGTTGTCAAAGCCCTCGCCCCGAGAAGTAAATGAGAGTTGTTCCCTCCTCGAGAGGCCCCGTTTGTGGTGAAAATAGATGAGTTGCGGGGCTTTCCATGGTGGTATTTATTGAGCCTGAGAGTCCCTTCAAGGGCGGAGAACGGAGGAGAGATGGAAATACTCAGCGGCGGGAAGCCTCCCAGGAGGCACCTGCGGGTCAGAAGGCATGGGGTGTGACGGAAGCCAGAAGGCCTAATGAGCTGAGCCTCAGAGCGCGAGAGGACATGGAGGCAGACACGGTGGCTCACGCCTGTCACACCAGCAGCTCGGGAGGCCGAGGCAGGAGGATCAAGAGTTCAAAGCCAGCCTCAGTAAAAGCGAGGCACTAAGCAACTCAGTGAGACCCTGTCTCCAAATCAAATACGAAATAGGGATGGGGATGGGGCTCCGCCCACCTCCTACCTGTCCCCTGCTCTGCACCTGGACCAGTGCATCCCACATCAACCACTGGGATATCTAAGGGCATCCTGCCTGCAATCCCCTCCTCCTCTGTGGGTGATAAGCCTGTCACAAGGGCTCGTCTCCTTCTCTCATTGCAGTCCTTAAAGGGGTACCCAAGCCCCTGCAGGATGCCATGCGTCTGTCCAACCCCGCCTCATAGGGCGCTTCCTCTTGGCCTCTCTGACCCAGCCACTGGTCTTCCTCTGATCCCCCGTGCTCTTGACCGTCACATGCTGGTCTTCTGCTTGGGGGCTCTCCCCGCCTCTTCTCTTGCCCAGTGAACTCGTCACTTGACCTGCAGATTGTCCCCAGGAGGATGATGCTTGGCACCTTGAGCACTGTGCCAGGCTGCTAGGGTGGCCACAAGACATCACAGACCAGGGCACCTGAGCCACAGACACGTGTTGCCTGGCCTCTCGGAGAGCTGTGCACCCAAGGTCAGGGTGGCAGCCTGGCCCGGGTTCTGGTGAGCACCCTTCCTGGCGTACAGGCGGCTGCCCCGTTGTCCTCCCACGGTGGAGAGAAAGCCAGCCCTCCAGTGTCTCTTCTCACAAAGATGCCGATCCACCAACCCAAACCTCCACCCTAGTCTCTTCTTTAAAGGGCACATGAGCTGTGCGGGAACAAGTCCTAGCAGGTGTTATCGTGGATAAAGGAGAAGTCATCCAGCACCGAGAAGCAGAAGGAGGGCTCCGATGACACCAGATTACGCTGTGGTTCACGGGAAGGGTGACGGGAGGCGCACGGTGGGAAATGAGATCAGAAAGGGAGAAGAGAAAGTGCCGTTACCCACATGTCACCATTTAGGGGAAGAGTCATGATGCCACCATTTCATTTTCTCACATCGGGTATCGATCCTGCAGAGGTTTGTGTGTTTATGATCTGTCTTTCCTTTCTGGAGAGTCTGCTGCTTCTAAGGGAAGGCTTTTGAGGATGCCCAGGACTCTCCTTTCCATTCCCAGAGCAGTGCCTGCCCCGTGTATCACTGACGCTCTTTGCAATTGCTACTGCAAAATAATTAACTGCCCCTAACTTTGTGACATAAGACACCACCATCCTTTCATGTTTGTGGATTCGGTGAATCAGGAGTTTGGAAAGCACACATAGGAGCTGGGAAAATGACAAAAGAGCCTGGGGCTCTGAGACTCTGTTCTCTATGAGGTCCTTTTCCTAACCCATGATTCCATACACTCCTCCCCATGAGGGAGGGATCCATATTTACCCTTATTTTATTAATGATGATCTACAATCTTTGAGGGGGTCATCTAACTTGCCCAAGCGCCCAAGCTAGAGAGGAAAGAGCCATGGTTTTTACCCAGTTATATCCACTCTCCGTCTGGCTGCCCATGTGGCCAGAAGTGAGGTCAGCCATCTTGGCAGGGAACCTCCTGCCTCCAGTGCAATGAATGGTTCTCAAGCAACAACCAAACTCATCCGCTAGAAGGTGTTGGGAAGCATGAGAGATGAGAGGCTATTTGGGGGATGAAGGATGCTAAATGCCCCAAAGTGTGTGGGACAGCCCCAGCTGCCCAAGACCAGTCTCTCCCCAAATGCCAACAGTCCCTGTTGAATATCACCACCTGAGAAGTGGAAAAATGTGTGAAATATTAACCTAGAAGGTGCTCAAAGACAATAAGAACTCTTGTTTCCTTGTGTGGCTTAGCACAGGGTGCAAACACCCCACATTTGGTGACTGACAAAAGGAGATTTGAACCCCAATTTCACCACTTACTACTCGCTGGCCAGATCAGGTGACCACCCTGAGTCTCGATTTCCTTATCTATAAAATGGGAATAATCAGAAGACGTCCCCTCAAAGATCTGCTCTGAGGATAAATATGAAATATGTTTTGTTTTTTAAATGCCGGGCGTGTGGTCGTCGCGTGGCCATTATCATAATGGCTCTTTCACCCTTGGTGTGTGGAAAAGGTCACTCAGCAGAATGGACAGGGGCTTGCAGGCCACAGCACGGCGTTCCCAGAGATGAGCTGTAACCGGCCAAGTGACTGGGACCCAGTCAATTGCGGCGAAATGTACCATACGCCATCAATATCCATCCCACCAGTTTCCATTTATCGAGCCGTACATCATTAGAATATCCCTGGGCTCGTGACAATGAAATCAATAAGACAGTTCAGCCACGGGCTGTGGTTTAATAACTCCAGACGTGAGTGGCGGGGGGCGGGGGGATCAGGGAGCGGAGAACGTCCCGAGCCCCGGGTCGGGGACGCAGGGAGACATTTCTTGAGTGGGAGAGAATCACGAGGGAGCGCCCCCC